TGGTTGGTTGGTTGGTTGGTTGGTTGTGGGGTGGGGCGTGGTGTGCTGTGCTCTGCTATAGTATGGTAGGTATGGTATAATATAATATAATATAATATAATATAATATAATATAATATAATATAATATAATATAATATAATATAATATAATATAATATAAAAAAGTCTCGGTCGATTTGACTTGACTTGCTTTGACTTGACTTGGTTCCATCTCATTTCATTTCATTTGACTTGACGTGCTTTTATTTTATTTGACTTGCTTTTATTTGACTTGCTTTGATTTGATTTGTTTGGTTTGCTTTTATTCGCTTGGCTTTGACTTTCTCTGCTTTGGTCTGCTTTGGTCTGGTCTGCTTTGCTCTGATTACATTACATTACTCTGCTCGACGGCATCCCGCCTTTTTTTTTTCTTTCCCTCTCCTCTCTTCTCTTTCTATTTATTTCATTTCGTTTCATTTCACTTCACCTCTTCCCTCCCTTTTTTTTTTCCCTCCCTACTTACTTACTTAACCACCTCCCTACCTACCAACCTCCCTCCCTCCCTACCAGCAAACAAACAAACAATCAAGCAAACAATCAATCAATCAAACAATCAAACAATCAAACAATCAATCAAAATAGACCAAAAGGACCAAAAGCGAGAAGCCAAAGAGAGAGAGAAAGAAAAAGAGGACAACAGTCGCACCTGTCGGTCCATACATACATGTATGCATACATACATACATACATACATACATACCTACGTACTTTTTTTTTTCGCTTGGCACAGACAGACAGTACGGAGGAAGAAGATGGCTTATTTAATTAATTATTTATTTATTTATATATATTGGAGGCTTAGAGGCTTGGATTGTATCGTTTATATATATCTACCTTATATATACATATCTATGGGTTTTTGATTTGGGGTCGAGATTTTTTTTGGTTTGGTGTTTACGTGCGTGTATGTAGTATGTGGGAGTAGGTGGGAGTAGGTGGGAGTAGATGGGAGTAGGTGGGAGTATGTGGGAGTATGTGGGAGTATGTAGGAGTAGGAGTAAGAAGAGAGATTGCGAGATTATACTTTATGCTTTATTTGATCTTTGTATGGGTAGGTAGGTAGGTAGGTAGGTAGGTAGGTAACTCTATTAAGTACGTACGTAGGTAGTACGTACTGTAGTAGTAGTAGTAGTAGTAGTAGTAGTAGTAGTAGTAGTAGTAGTAGTAGTAGTAGTAGTAGTAGTAGTAGTAGTAGTAGTAGTATAGTAGTAGTAGTAGTAGTAGTATAGTAGTAGTAAGTAATAGTAAGTAGTAGTGTTATTATTATTACCCTTTGCTAAGCCCCCCTGCTACGTACCTACGTACCTACCTACCTACTGTACTTACCTATGTATAGCCCCTTGGCAGCGAGCGGCCCGCAAAAGACCTAGGATCACTTACTTACGTAGTACGTACGTAGTTCTTACAGTTTATTTTAAGGGGGGCCAGGTGGGGGGGGAAGGGGAGGGGGGGGTACTAAGTTAAGCATATTTGCCATGTTTATTATTATGCATAATTTCCGTCCCGTTACTATACTTTCCTAGGTATCCCCACCTCCCCACGTCCCCCCCTGAATAAAATCAACGACGAAAAGCATATTTTCATTCTCACTATTATAGGGGCTAACCAAGGGGACTAGGTAGTTGTTCGTAACTCTACCCACCGGCTTCTAAAGCCGCGCCTCAAGAACAAGAAATCCATTGTTTCCTTTGTCGCACGTGGTAAGGGGTCGTGGTGGATTTGAATCGATGTTATGCGGCGATTGATTGATTGATTAATTGCACGAGGAAGACTTACACGAGAGAGAAAGATGGAGAAAGCAATCGCTTGTTTGGGTTTTGTTTTGCGATGGTTGGGTGGGCGCTTGTGTGGCTTTGGGGTTGAAATACAGTCTGCTTTTACTGGATGGGAGGGTTGGTCTTTTTGTTTGAGGTGGGGGGGAGGGGGGAGAGTATAGTGAGGATGCATAGGTATACCGTACTACCTATGTACAGTAGCTTATCGGAGTGGGGCCGGAGTTGACCGTTTGGGTTTGTTTCGGAGGGGTTGATGGTAGTGGGTGTGATGGAGAATGGTTTTGTGTTTCGGGTGTGTTTCGGGCTTGTCTTTCGGATGTCTTTCGCTTGTCTTTCGCTCGAATTTCGCTAGGGGAGGAGCGGATAAGACTATACGGGAGATTTGATACTGTATTATTTGTTAGACGAACGAGCCTACGAGGTGAGAATTTAGAACTATCTTTTGAATTCTCTTTTTTTTTCTTTTTTCTTTTCTTTTTTATTTTTTTTATTTTTTTTATTTTTAATTTTATTTTTCTTGGTTTATTTTTTAGTCTCTCTTTCTTTCTTTCAATTATACATGCATTGCATCAAAGGGATTCTGCAGCCGAGTCAACTCCGTACTTAAGGGATGTTGTTCCTGTACTTAAGGTATCGGTCCATTTCTCGATTGGGCTTACCGCCGGTCTTTTTTTTGTAACCGTTCTGCTACTGTATTATACGGAGTATACGTTTAAAGTGGTACAATAATAAGTACTGCAGTATCCTTTCCTTTCTCCTGTTTCTTTCTTTGTCTTCTCTTTTTTTTCTCTTTTCTCTCTCTTCTCTTCTCTTCTCTTCTTCTTCTTCTTCTTTTCCACAAAATCATCCCAGGATAGAAAGAGAAGGACATGGAGAAATGCCAGGTATACAGAGTAAGGATTCCATGTTGAGGAGGATCCGAGGGCAACTTGGACTCGGTTTTCTTCTCGACACATAGATACTGGCCGGACGTACGGGAGAAGAAAATGGGGGGAGCGGGTATCCGCTTTCCAACGAGGAGAAGTGTGAGTGATATTCGATATTCGGTAGTCGGCTCCCTCCCGTGTTCGGTTTTACTTGCGAGATACGGCACGACGCAGCAGTAGAGAGAGGGGGGGGCGGAGGGGGGAGGATAGGAATTTGTTTTTACGGAGTGTGCGGCGTGATTATACGCGCATTCAACAGATCGGAATAATATTTTTACATGTTTGATTTGATTTGATGAACGGAAGGAAGAGGCATGTATGATTGCAATGCCGGGTTTTATTTCTCCCTCTCCCTCTCCCTCGTTCTCTCCCTCCTTCTCTCCCTCTCACTCTCTCGCCAGCGGACCACAATCGTCAGCACGATCAATAAAGAAACCCAACCAACCGCAATATTCAAACAGCGAAACCAACCAACTATCCATGCAAGCGAGATTCCCAAGAATCAGAACATCGTACTCTTAACCAATGCACTAGGATCCATGTGGCTTGTATATAGAAGCAGGTTGGCAGGCTGGCAAATCTATCAGAATGAAGAAGGGAGATGTAAGGAGATAAGAAATCTCGAGCAGAGTTTACTAATTATAGCATAGAGGTACTTGCGGCCGCTAGGAAGTTCCTCAAGGGGTTAGGTACTTGTGCGGAAAGAGAGCCTCGACGCTGGTGGTAGTAGTGGTAATAGTGAGGCTCGAAACCTACTGTACTGCAGCTTTTAAAAGAAGCGGTGTTTCTTTATCGATCGAAGGAATCCGGCCTTCTCGTACACGTAAAAGATCGCCTCGACGACATCTTTTAGTTCTAAGCGATTATTGCAGCCGGAAGGGCTTTTTGGCATGTCGACGCCGTTCAACAGAGACCGGGACCGTCGCGAACAAACCATACACATATCCAATCACTCCAAAAGCCTTCTCGAGAACCCCCTTCGTGATCACCACCGGCGGGAACGTGTCGAGCGGACTTCTCTAACGTGTGGACGGACTTGAGATTCTGATAACGTCTGCCGCGATCGATGATGTTTCGCTTTCTTCGCTTTTCCGGCTTGGAAGGCAGGCTCTCGCACCAACCTGACCGGGATCTAACCGAGAGCGAGAGGTAAGCCTCCCGGGATTTTCTCGAAGGAGCAGGAAGGGAGGAAGCACCTTGCAGTTATATATATATAGGTATATATATATATATTGCCTGCTCCTGACGACAGCCATCGAGCAGCACGGGCGGATCCAAAACCCAAGGCAAGCCTTCTTTCTCTCTCACCCAGCCCACTCCCAGCTGCTTGCTCTCTTCCACCATGAACGGGAAAGATCAAGATCAAGATCAAGATCCATGATACACACACCTACCAGTTATAAAACCAGCTAGCTTCCTGTTCCTAGCCTAGACATGGTTTGATCTGATCATGCTGCTAGCCTCGTCGAGATCCACCACCTGCACTTTCTCCCTAAAGCGCAAAGCCATCCAGTCGCACACCTCGCTCATCTCACCCTTCTCAGCCATCAATGAAGATCCCGTGAAAAGTTTCTGCACACATCTCGATCTCGAGCGAATACCGCGTGTCGTACACCTTTGTGCCCAGTTTTACGGACGATGGCACGGCTGGTTCAAGACGGGGGATCTTCCGGTGGTTGATCGGCAGGAAAGGCTCTTTTTGATAGGAGGAGATAATCATGTTAGTATCGTCAGCGGCTATTAGAGGATGGGAAGATTTCAGCTCAAAGAGAAGAGAAGAGTACTAGCAGGAGGTATTCAGGATTACAACATACAAGAGTAATAGGTGGCACTATATGTCTCAGCATACACGGAGCAGTCTTCAGAAGATCTGGGCGGAGTAAGTTGCTCGCTCTTTGACAAGGAAACACGCTAGCGACTTGAAAATAATGATGTGCTGACCGAGTCATAGGTATGGTTTCTGTAGCTGGATCGGAACTTTATCTCTCACCAATGCAATCCCGAGCCTGTCCAAGATCAATTTTGATGGTGTGGAACTCGTGATTGACCCGGGTGGAGTGTTTCCTTTGCGAAAGGAAATCCTTGAATCATCGAAGTGGTCAAGAGGTTTGATAGGCTTCGCAAAATCAGCTTAACATATCGACGGTTCATTCATTCCGAGTTGACAATTGACAAGTTCACTTAAATTTGCGACAGAGGTTGGGGGACCAAGGCTCTCCTTGAAACGGTAGTGTGCTCTCCTGAGGATTCAGTCTCGTTCTGGTTGGCTCCCAAAGGCAAGTTCTTGATGTGTAATGACACAAATCTCAGCGACCTGGAAACCCGTCAGATCTGGTAGCTGTCGTAAATGATCATCATGGAGGATTGTGTTGGGGCATCTCAACAAGGGTTATGGCAATACAAGCAGCACCCGCGCGAGCAATGAATACAACGCAACTCAATCAAAAGCAAAACAAGGTTCAAAAATCAGCGAGGGACACAATGTGACTGAGAGCGCAACATACAAAGTGAATGATGAAATTTGAGAGGCAAGACGGAATGATACCTCTGACAGCTTCCTATCATGTTCGCACGGATTGCTGCGTGTGGCATACAACATGCGAGGCAGTAAGTGCTGTACTGGTTCGGGACATCTAAACTGGGTCGATGTGCTGAGGAGCGATTATTGGTCTCGGATTTCAACATGGGCATGAAGAGCGGCGTGGGCCAAAGTATTTACATCCGAGCTAAATTGACGAAGGGTATTTTGCAAGACAAGTACCTCGCTCGATTTCGCATATGTCGCAGGCACGGAAATACGGGATCGAGAAGAGATTTATTGCCACAACAGACACATCATCTCTCCTTGGTCTACCCACGCCCCCCTCACAATTCTCACAACATGATATCATACAGTGCTCGTTCCTATCAAGCTCGCAGCGCCCAATCATTCGACAAGTGGGAAAAAGTAGTGTGTACCAACCCAGGCAAAAGTGTACATAGGTAAAAGTGTACATAGGCAAAAGGAGACGGGTATCGTTCGGTGAAGGTGCGATTTACTGTTGTTCGGGCATCTTCTTCGGGGAGAGAACTTCGAATTGTCCTGGGCAAAAATCGTTAGTTTTGTTTGCGTGAGGCGAAAATGGAACATACGCTGGACGATGCTCAGTCCGTAGACCTCATTTCCGTTCTTGTCCGTAAACTTGTTGTTCGAGGCCTCGCCTTCGACGTAGACCATGGTCCTGCAGCTACCGCATTAATTACCGCTCATTGACAGACCCTTCACTTCCCCCCGCGCCCTAGCCATAGGGGAGAACTCAACGTACCCCTTCTCCAGTCCCTGGAAGAAGTCCCGACGCGGCCCCGGTGGCACGAAAGCAGAAACGCTGAAGTAGCTCGTCTTTTGGTTCTCGCCATATCCGCCGGAGTTCGAAGCAACCGCATATCTCAGGACATCCTGGCCTGTACTGGTAGGGTGCAGCTCGGGAGGTGCTGCGAGGCGGCCCAGGATCGTCATGCGCGCGAAGGAGGAGCGTGGGGAGCTGGTTGAGAAGGCGCGGGTGACTGGGGAGGAATTGCGCAGGGCACGGCGGGCGAGGAAGGAGGACATTTTATTCCGTTTCGAGGTTAGCGGTGGGAACTTAAATCTCGAGATGAGTGAGGATACACGGAGAAGAAGGATGGGTTGGTGGTTGTGGAAGTCGCAAAAATTGATCGTGTTGACTGATGGCTCGAAATCGCGTCTGGGAAATTCGCGGTTTTTACGGGCTAGCCGAGATTGTTCCGACACGTGAGCAATGAATCATGTGCTCCTGTTCGAATGCTCGGATATTAGAGGATCATCATCATTCTGTTATCTGGATTTCCCTGGTCGTGTCCTGAACACTGGGTAGTATTTTTTTAGCTCCAAAGATCCCAGAGGCCGGTAGACGTTACAGTAAATGAAGCTGAGAATCTTCACGCGGCGTGTCAAGTCGCCACCGATCTGGGTAGGGATCTTGCGCCAGATCGGCGAGGCCCGAAGATGAAGAACTAGGAGAACTTTACACAGGGAATAATAGCTCATCTCTAGGTGATCAGAAGCCATAGTAACCCACTTCTTAACCTATGCAAAAAATAAAGAGCAAATCACCTGTGCTGCATGAACCCCAAGTTATTAATGGGATAAAAACATCAGCCATCACCTCATCGAGCACGCTATCCTCTAGACTTTTCCAAAATCTAGAATGTGAATTGTAACCATGCGAGGTCAAATCCAAGCATCCATGGCTTCCTCCTTCAAACAAATCATCCACGATGACAGGCCTCCTCTCTTCTTCCGTTGAACAGATTGACTTCCCCTTTTTGATGTCCACAAATAATCGAAGCAAATACTCGCGAGTATAGCTCTCAAGATACTCATCCATTACTGATGCTTTACTGAGCGTTGGCTGTCTGGGGCGTCAGCCCAAGGTCCGGATGACTGGAAAGGATGTCAGGCGATTGGTAATTTTAGCATATGCCAACAGTGCTGGCCTGGGGAGTTCACCAGATATGCTGCAATTTCGAATCGTTTTACCAAAATTCCTAAAGCTTGAGCTGGACTGGGCAGTATACTGATAGCGAAAAGAGCAAAACGAAAGAGAGCGTTGCCGCATGCCCTCGTTGTTATCTCTCGCCGGAGCCCTCATTTTCCCGCTCTCCCACCAATCATTTCCTAAGACCTGCATCCCAAACACTGCTTCATCTTAAAGTACAGTACAAGCAATTGATAGCTTGCTTCGATTTGTGGAATGATTCCAGAATATGGCGTCGGTATTAAGCGAACCAAAGTCAACAAACAAGCCCTCGTGCAATCGACAACAGATTCTATTGATAGCAAGGGTCATAATGGATACCATGACTGCGGACAAATCAACATCCATGTCTTGCCTTCCCCAGTATAATGATATAATTATATATTTCATCTAAATTCCAATTGCATACATAGGTACTTCTTGCCTCGCTTAAACACACTTGTTAGCTTGGCAAGTGAAACGTGACTATGAGTAGAAGTGATTTAGCATTACTGTGTCACTCAGTGCAAGCAAGCCCTCACATAAGTCGATTCCCAATTTTAAGCATGTAATTGATACTATGAAAAACAGGCATTTTCCCCACAAAACTAAAACATAACAAACAGCACACCACTCATCTCATGCAACCGGTGAACCTCGGATGGCTCCTGTCTTGACACAAATCAGTGATCATATCCTCACGTGTACTGTTCCAACCACTTACTCGATATGCCCAGCAGAAGCTCATCCCTACAATGCCCCAACGGAGTCCTTCTGT